CATTTTGTGAACTTTATTTTCTTGGTAGGGCTATTTTTGGGCAGGAACGCACAGGAACGGAGGGCTCCCAAGTTGACCACGCCCAGCAGGAACTCATTAGCATAATAGGCCACACCCAATAGCAGAAACTCATTAGGATTGGCTACATTAGGGGTGTGGCCTAACATGCAAAGGAGTTCCTGCTACAAAAAAAGCCCTAGGTTTTGACAACAAACAAGGTAAACAGAATAAGAAGCAAAAGGAGGGTGTGGCTGGATGTCGACACTTCTGGTAACATGGGGGTGCGGCCTAATATGCTAATGAGCTGTGCTCTCATGGGTGTGCCTGGATATGCTAATGAGTTCCTGTTGTTGGGTGTGGCCTATTATGCTAATGAGTTCCTGCTGGGCTTTTTCTACAAAAAGAGCCCTGGGTAGGAGTATTTTTCAGCAGTTTAGAGGCTGAATATCTTTCAGCTGCACAAGTCAACAAGCACACAAGCCATGGGGTTTTCTTTTAAGCAGCAGACAGCAGTAAGGCTGTCTCTCCTCCCTAAAAGGAAGAACTCATCTAATGAGCCTTCGGGAAAAGGCAGAAGAAATTTAATAAATAAATGATGTATATAGAGGGGGTATTCTGATACTGTAGAAACATTTGCAGTGGAAATAACGCACAACAGTACTTTTGACGGCATGCTTTGAGTAGTTTATTTATTTATTTTTATTCAATTTATATTCCACCTTCCCCACAAATGGGCTCAGGGCGGATCACAAGCAAAATCTAATACATCATAAAAATCAAATGCATATCAAATAATTTACATAATAATAAAACAGATTAAAAAACATAAATTAAAAACAAGTCACACTATGCCTATTCATAAAGTTCAAGCTGGTGCTTGATATGTGATACGATGGCTTCAGCCTTCTGCCTGGATGGAAAGGTGGACCACACAAAAATTCAAACAGAGAATGAGGAAAAATTAGAAGCATCTACCGTGGCTGTGCAAGTGGTAACAAAATGGGTATGCTAATGTTTGTGGTTGGTGCAGTGTAGACCATCAAAGGAGATGGCCATCAGGGCGGTGCATATGAAGTACACGTGTGGCGTGCAAGCTAACTTTGCATCGTAGAAACAGAGATCTGACAGAGCCGATGGCTTCAGGGAATCTCCGCTTTTAAAAAGCATGTTCTTGTCCTCCTTTTGTGCAGAGACAACGTTTGAAAAAATGAGAGGGAGATAAAAATTTTGTCAAAATGTTTGTTGAAGTTATTCTTCAACTGAACATATGCTTGGAAAATTCTTCCAGTGACCTGAGAGCCTAGCCCTGTGTACCCACCACTGGTTCCAATGCATTAAGCCCACTTCTGGCCTCCTATCACCCTTGTCATTGTCAAAATATTATTACCATCCAAATAAATTATGTAAATTAGATCCATGACTTTATTTATTCTAAACCCAAATATGACTAATACTGGAATATGGTCAGTTATCAGTGTCTTCTGGTTTAAAAATAAGAACATAAGAGACGCCAATGTTGGATCAGGCCAATGGCCCATCCAGTCCAACACTCTGTCACACAGTGGCCAAAAACACCAGGTGCCATCAGGAGGTCCAGCAGTGGGCCAGGACACTAGAAGCCCTCCCACTGTTGCCCCCCCCCCAGCACCAAGAATACAGAGCATCACTTGCCCCAGAGTTCCTATCTAGCTCCATATAATTCCGTCTTGAAGCCATCCATGCTTGTAGCCACCCACCACCACCTCCTGTGGCAGTGAATTCCATGTGTTAATCACTCTTTGGGTTAAGAAGTACTTCGTTTTATCCGTTCTAACCCGACCGCTCAACAATTTCATTGAGTGCTCACGAGTTCTTATATTGTGAGAAAGGGAGAAAAGTACCTCTTTCTCTACCTGCTCTATCGCATGCATAATCTTATAAACCTCGATCATGTCACCCCTCAGACGTTGTTTCTCCAAGCTAAAGAGCCCTGTCACGCCGGGGGTCCTTTCCTGAGGGGAAGGGTGCCTCCGCCGTGTCATCTGAAGTCCCACAGGGGAAGCCAAAGCCTCAGAATTGAAGGGGAGAGAGTTGCATCACTCTCAACAACACTTCTCGGAGTGACAGCATACTCGGATCTCGCTCTCTCTCTATCCCAATGCTCGTCACCTTCGCTCTTCCTCCCCGGCTCATTTCAGCTTCCACGTATTTATCTCCCTCCACCTGGGGAACTCCACCCCTTTCCCCTGTCATCCGCTGATTGGGAAAGTTCCCTGTCAATCTCTCTGGTCCCACCTCCCAGGTGGGGTGGCCTGGGCGTCTTCGGGGGTGGGGTCACTTCCGGGAGATCCCGAAAATCCCTGTTCGCCTTCATGCTTGCCTGAAGGACTCCGTCGGTCCCT